ATATATAAAATTAAAAAAAAAAAAGGTCAGGCGCAGTGGCTTGTGCTTGTAATTCCAGCACTCTGGGAGGGCAAGGCAGCTGGATCACTTGAGGTCAGGAATTTGAGACCTGCCTGACCAACATATATTGAAACCCTGTCTCTGCTAAAAAGCACAAAAATTGTCCCAGCCCAGTTACTTGGGAAGCTGAGGCAGGAGAATCACTTGAACCAGGGAGGTGGAGGTTGCAATGAGCCGAGAGGGAGCCACTGCATTCCAGCCTGGGTGACAGAGCAAGACTCAAAAAAAAAAAAAAAAAAGGCAGTGACCTTTTGGCTCCAGAGTTCCATGGGACTCATCGTAGTATGAAAAAGCCACCAGCAGATTCCTAGTCCCAACGTCAGGACACAGGCTGGGGCAGCTCCGGGTCTGAACAGCTGTCCATCCTCCCACTTTGCCCTTCTGCTCAGCGGGACCATGGTGGGCATGGATCCAGGAGGCTTGCCTACCCTTGGGGGGCTATGGTGGCTGCCACCCTGCCTTGATGGCCAGCTCTGCTCAGGCTTGTGGGCAACTCAGAGCTGATCCCCAGCAGTAGCTATTTGGCAGAGGCCATTGGGGACTGGCGTCAGGTTGGCCTCAAGCCAACCCATCCTTTCCAGGCTCCTTCACTACTTCCGCGGCCGCCACCACCTGGAGGAGATTATGTACAACGAGAACACGCGGCGCTCCCAGCTGCTCATGCTCTTTGACAAGTTCCGCAGCGTGCTGGTGGTGACCACCCACGAGGACCCCGTCATTGCTGTCTTCCAGGCTCTGCTTCCCTGAGCTCAGGTGGAGGGTGGGAAGCTGCTGGGGTGTGCAGGTGGGCTCCCTCCCTGCTGAGGCTGACCCTCTTAGCCCTGAGGCCCAGCACTGGGTAGATGCCAGCCCTGGCCTGACTGAAGGCCTACAGAGCCCCACTGTTCTGGCCATGGGCGGTTCAGCTGCGGGGATGCTGCCCTCTGTGCCCCTGCGCTTCCCTCCGGTCCTAGCTGCATGCATAGACAACTCCACGCTGGACGGAGCCTGCCAGGACACTTGTCCCTAGGTGATGCTACATCCTTTTAGGTCCATGCAGGCTGTTGATTTCTGAGACCCTCCTCCTGTCCCCATACCTGCTCCCTGGAAACCCCCCGTGGCCACCCTGAAGAATATGCAGAAACACTTGTGTGGCCTGTTCCTATCTGACAGCCTTTCCTTTGTGAAGTGCCCTGTGGCCCCTTCCCCAGCACTCTCTCTCTCCACCATGCGCTTCTTCCCAGGTTGCCATGAGCCTTTCCAGGCCCAGCCCTTACCACAGTCCACATAAGTCACACACGGGCTCATAGCCAAGCTGTGACCTGGTCTTCACCATCTGGGGCACGAGAGCCTGGGCTGGCCCCGCTAGGCTGGAGCAGCCCCGTCACCTGTGCACATCTTGCTGGTGGAGGCATGGCCCACTGTGCAGGACCCCACACTGACGATTCTCCCCAGGGTCCACATTGGGCCTGGTGCAACATACTCGGGGCCCCAAGCCCTTGTGTCCTGGAGGAAGAGCTGGCTCCAGACATGTGCTGACCACCTAGGGGGACTCTGGTTAACGCAGTTTTCTAGAAATAAAACATTTATTTGTTTTTAAACAATTAAAAAGTTGTCCAGGCAGGCCCTTTGCTCAGGCCTGTGCGTTCTGCTCAGCCACTCTGTCGACCACGCTGACCCAGGGGCTGCCCTGGACATAGAAGCGCAGGGGTTTTCGGGCCCACTCCCCTGCATAGCCAATGCCCACCCGGGCTGCTGCCACTACAGCTGGTCTACTGGACTCCAGGGGGCCACGCTCCAACCATATCGCTTCATCCTGAGCCAGGTCCCTCTGGTCAAAGCTCTTGTCGATGGCCAGGGCCTGGCACAGCTTGGAGGGGCCACTGCAGAGCTCACGGTCCTTGAGGACACGGCTGGCGGTGCCTTTCCGGAGGGTGCTGCGAAGCTGACGCATGGTCTCCAGACCTTCTAGGGGCTCCAGTGCTCGCAGCAAGACACAAGCTCCGTCCCCTGTGGGATGGATGGACAGCTTGGAAGTGGAGCCTCCCTGGGCTCCTGTTCCCTTGTGCTGTGCTGCGGGGAGGGTGCAGCTGCCTTCTGCCTGGGCCAGGGACCTGCTCTGTGCACCTGCACTGTCTACTGGGTCTGACCTGGTGGGAGGGGGCTGCACATCAATTTGTACAGACCCCTCTGCCTACCTCACCATCCTCCATGCCTGCGCCATGAGGTGTGCCTCCCATGGGGACCTCTGGCTGCCACCAGCAGGCAGGGCAGCCACCACTGTGGATGCCCCCATGAAGCCAAACTGTAAAAACACATGACGAATGCTGGGTATCAGCTCCTTTCTCCCTGGCTTCCCCTGGTCTTGTGATTGGCAGCAGCTATGAGACCAGCAAAGGAAACTCCAGAGAGCCAGTCCTTGGGTGGGGTCATTCTGCCAGGAAGCAGGAAGCCCCGGGCCTAGCCAGGCCCCAGGGCTCCCCTTCTGCCTCACCCAGTCGGCATTTGTGTTGGGCAAGTGGTGGGGCTAGGGGCTGGCTTAGAGCAGCTGCCAGTGTGCGCAGGATGTTGGGAGAGCCCAGGCAATGACTCAGTGGAAAGACTGACTGCAACACCCTGCACAGGCAGAGCAGGAGGAGGCCGGCAAAGCCCCTCACTTCCCTTGGGATCCTTCCTCCAGCCTAGTCCCCTCCCTCACCAGGCCAGTCCACTTGAGAAGCCAGAGAGAGCAAACAGATGCTCCTGGGCCCAGGGCTCACTCAGGCACACAGATACCCAAATTCCCTCTGTCCTGCATGTTTGGAAAGGCCACTCAGCTTTTTGGCTGGGAACAATGAGAACCTGGACCCTGGCCAGAGAAGCCCTGGCCCTCCAGCAAGGCAGCTCCCTGGGGACACCTGCTCTGACTCACCTGTGCATCCCTGGCCCTCCAGCCACCTGGCGTCAAAGGCTTGGCCCGAGGGTGGCCAAGCCAGTCCCCATTCTGGGGCAGTAGCCATATAAGCCTCTGCATCGGCAGCCAGAGGCCAGCACTGCTGGACAAAGCCATGCCCTCTGTCAGAGCCAGCAAGTGTGGCATTCCTGAGAGCAGATACCCTTAAGCAGCGAGTTTTCAAAGCATTTTAAGGTAAAATCAAGGCCAAGCAAAGCCTTTCAGTTCCCATCCGTTCTGTCATTCCCCCAGTGCTTCCAGCTCACCAGGTGGGGTGCCCGGTGCCCCCCCAACTCACCTCAGTAGGAAGGAGCAGGACCCTCTACATCCCTGTGGGTGCAGGACACATGCCCCTCATTGTCTCACTGAGCCCCCACAGAGCTGCCTGCAAAAGAGTGACAGCCTGGCCACCCTCACCAGCACACCCTCCTGTCCTGGCTCCTTCACACAGAACACATCCAAGTCCCACATCCTGATAAAAACACGACCCCTTTGATCTCTTCCTGCCAAACCTCCCTGTCCTCACCTACTCCTCCGCCCCCAAGCCCCACCACCGCCTGCTGTGCGTGCAAACTACTCCGTCCGTGGCGGCCTGACCACTCTGCTCTGCTCGGCACTGCAATCCTCCTCCTCAAACCAGCTCCGCATCCTCAAGTGCTGCCTCCATCAAGGGCAGCTGACAACTGTGTCCTCAGCCTCCTTTCTGCCTCCACTCCAACCAACCCTTTCTGCCCCTCTAACCAACCTTGCCCCGTCAATGCAGCCAGAGCTCCTGAAACCCTGACCTGGCCCTGGAAATGGCACTTCTTTGCTCAAATGCCTGCCCCTCCTCAGTCCTGCTGGGGTCGCCTGGCTGCTAGCTGACGGAGCTCTGCCAGCTCTCCAGCCCCCTCAACCACCGACCCCCCCAGCACTGCTCACCCTGGCTGGAGATGTTCATGCAGAAGTACATGCCGTAAATGATGTACACGTACAGGGTCCCTGGTTTCATGAACATGCCTCGGTTGCGGGGGGTCTGCCGGCCACCCCTTGAGTGGGCAGCTTCATCCTCTGGCCCCAAGTATGCTTCAGTCTCCACGATGCGGCCCCGGAGCTCTGTGCCATTAGGAAGTCGCCGGACTAGGACCTGTGGGGAGTCAGTTTCTGCTCAGGGCAGGAAGGGATGGGGGTCTACTCACCCTAAGTTTCTAGCCTGGACCTCATCTCCCCAGCTCAGGGTGTATCAGCCACCCAGGTCTAGCCAGGGACCTTGCCCCATCTCCATCCTGCCTCTTCTCTTGCTCCTGCTCAGAGCCTGATTGTGGCTGTTGAGGCTACCAGCTGTCTCCTCCAGGGACCACCAGACTGCAGGCTGAAGACACCTCAGGCCACAGCCAGGGCTGGGCTGGCAATCGGCAGCGTGGATTCACCTTGCAGGTCGACCTTCAAGTCCTCTCAGCAGGGCCTTCCTCCTTTCTGAAGTACCCTGGAGCATTCAGCATGAGGCCAGGCATCACGGGAGGCACAGGACCTCAAGGATGTCCCCATACCAGCTGCCTGGGAAATCCCAGAGCCTGTGAAGTCCCCTAAACCTGGGATGCTGAGGTGGCCACAAAGGACCCTCATATTCAGCGCCCACCCTCCAGCATTAAGGCCTTTCTCCACAGTTGTGCCCAGTGCTCTGCTCGGAGCCCCAGGTATAAGGCTTCACAGCAGAGCACTGGGGACCAGCCACATCCCCAGCACCTGTCTCCTTTTCAGGCCAGAGGAGTCAGCTGGACAGCCAGGCCATCTTCACCTCAGCCCAGGAAGCCTTGTGGTGCCATGGTCAGTATCTCCAGTAGGAGAGGAGGGGCACCGGGGCTTAGATGCTCGCTGGGGGGAGCATTGAGGCCTTCCTGGAGATAGGGTGGAGGGAAGAAGGGGGTCAGTGCCTGTGATGGAAGCCCAGAAATCCTTAGGCAACCAAAGCCACGAGGACAGAAGTGAACCAGCCAGGCTTGGCGAGACCATGTCCAGGGGAGAAAGGGTGGCCCTGTTCCATTTTCCCTGGAGCTTGGAGGGAGTGCCTCTCCAATGACTTCACTCTGCACACTTCTGTGCCTCCATGGGGGCACACTGTGGGGCCCAACTACCTTTCTGGAGAGGAGGTTCCCACAGCCCTTTTCTGCTTCCTGTTCCATCCCAAATTTCTGATCTGGATTTCACTCTGATACCATTTTCACCAATGGCAGATACTGGGACCTCTCACCCCTCCTCACTGCCATTACAAACCCACAAACCCCTGTTTCTTGCTGGTGGAGCCTCCTGGGGGAGACCACACCCTCCTTAGCCCAGAGAGTGGCCTGGGTTTTCATGGTAACTCACTGCAGTGACTCTTTTAGGGATGAGTGCATGGCCCAAGTCTGGTTGAGGACTCTGCAAGGACACCCACTGGGAGGTTATGGAGAGGGACACACCGGGTGAGACACTGTCTTCTCTGCTGGACATCATCTTGTCCACCAGTGGGCTCAAGTGGGCATGACTGTGGCCTGCCAAGGATGCTGAGTAGACAAATGTATTGTGGCCCCTGATGCCACCCTGGGCCCTCACCCTGATCCTGGGATGTACCTGCCACATGCGATGTTTTGTTGTATCACAAATGCCCATTACTTAAGGTGCTTGCAGAAGGATCCTCATGGGGACACAATGTTGTCTGTTCTCCACAATGTCTAGGGTCTGCTCCTTTAACACCCAATTCCGGGCACTGGTATTTCTCTCGGTGATTTTTTTTTTTTTTTTTTTTGAGATGGAGTTTCGCTCTTGTTATCCAGGCTGGAGTGCAATGGCGCGATCTCGGCTCACCGCAACCTCCGCCTCCTGGGTTCAGGCAATTCTCCTGCCTCAGCCTCCTGAGCAGCTGGGATTACAGGCACACGCCATGATGCCCAGCTAATTTTTTGTAGTTTTAGTAGAGACGGGGTTTCACCGTGTTGACCAGGATGGTCTCGATCTCTTGACCTCGTGATCCACCCGCCTCTGCCTCCCAAAGTGCTGGGATTACAGGCGTGAGCCACCGCGCCCGGCTCTCTCGGTGATTTTAACCTAAAAGTAGGCTGGCACTGCTATTTCTCTTCTTGGTGATTTTAACCTAAAAGGCGGCTCACTGCAGGACAAAGGGAAGGCTTTGGAGACCCCGAAGAACCAGAAACGCAGGCCTGGAGCTTTTGCATTCAGGAACAACACCCAGTCGGTGCTCCCAACAGATCCAGTCAGGATGCCACAGCTGTGTGAGCACCAGCTTGTGGGGACGGGCTGGAACACAGGCCCCACCGGGATGGGCCCTGGCAGTCCCTGCCTCTAACTCTAAGTCTGATTGGCAGATCCCAGACCCTGGACCTACACTGAGCTGCAGGGGCCCTGGGAAGCCAGCACTGCACTGTGGGCCACTGCAGTGGGAAGGGGCAGCCCAACACTGGCCACGGCCACAGTTCCCACGTGTGGAAAGACTGTGAGGTGGATTCCCGGTGAGGAAGGCTAACGGTGCAAGTGCTCCTGCCCTAGATGCCCGGAGCAGGGGGGGGGCGGGTAGACAGTGGCACCCTTGCTCCACCCTGGGCAGGCGGCACTGACAATCTCCACATTCTTCCCAGATGATCTCAGGCAACTGAGGTGAAGCTATCCAGGGACCAGTGTGAGCAAAGCAGCTAACTGCATGGACAAGGAGGACTAACCAGGGGCCAAGCCCAGCAGGCAGCAGTTCAGGGACAACTGCAGTGACAGGTACTTGAGGAGCGACTAGGACATTTACATTACCTGTCCCAGAAACGCCTGGGCCAGGGTGACTGCCGGCTGGTCAAAAAACTCCGACCCCAGTCGAGTAAGGTGGCCCTTTGGGCTTGAGAAATAGATGCTGCGGTGTGGGCCCAGGGTGGTGGGTGGTCCCAAGCAGGGCTCCTTGGGGCAGGGTGCCTGGGCTGCATAGGATGGGCTCTGCGGCCGCTCCGCTTTGTCTGCTTGCTGCTTTTTCTGCCCCGTCCTTCGGGAAGACTAATGGGAAAAAAAAATGTAAGCATCAGAATAGGAGAGGACAGACAGCAGTGTGGTGAGGTCAGGCTGGGGAGCTCAAGGACTGGATTCGACCACCTGCCTCAGTTTCTTCATCTACAAAGTAGTGCTGACTGCCCTGCGGGTTGTTATGACACACACACAGTGCTACCTCCACACACTGGAGGCCTCAGGGAGTGGTCACATCTGAGGGTGGATGGCTGCTGCTGGTAGCAGGGTGGCTGCTCTGCCCCACGTATGTGGGGGGTACACAGCGTGGGGGACCGGGGCTGCATGACCTTGGGAGCGGATGGGGGCCCGAGCCTTGGACAGCAGGGCTGGTGCCCTCTGATTCCCACGCATCGTGCAGGCCCCAAGCAAACGTCTGAGCTGGTTTCTGGAACCCTGCCCTTTCATCCAACCCCGACCAGGAATTCAAAACACAGCCAGAACCTTGGCGGGGCCTTAGCAGGGATCCCACTGCGCCAGATTCCCTGGAATGGCCCCCAAGGCCTGAAACACAGGGAGGGGTGAGCACTGTGGTGACCGCTGGCCTGGCCCCATCCCATGGGCTCAGGGCCCCTAACTGTCCTCTGCTTCATGGCCCAGGTTGGATAACGAGCAAGTGGGACAAAGGTAAAGTCTCCTGAGGGACTACGAGGGTCTGCTGAAACCCAGCGGGCCACCAGCCTCCCACCTGTGGCCTCCCCATAGGCAAGGGAGCCTGACCACAAATCCTCAGCTGTTCCGGGGCCAGAGGAGGAGGGAAGATGAAGGCGGAGGGTGAGCGCCGGCCTGGCAGCACCCAAGTCCTCCTGGCATGGGAGACATGCATTATTTTTAACGGGAGTGCTGACGTTCATGTCGAATTGAGACCGCCAGTCGGCCTGGAACGCACGCTCACGTGACCGTCTCCTCAGTTCGGCCCGCGCTGCCACCGCGCCGTGCGCCCAGCCCCCGGGCGCTGCGGCCCCTGCTCTCGGTCCGATCTTGGCCCTCGGCCCGCCCTGGCACGCTCTGGCTCTGCCTTGAACCCCCGGGGCGGTGGGCGGTGCGCCCGTCCCAGGCTCTCCGGGTCCAGCGGCCGCGCTCAGCGCGGCGCCTTGGGGTGGGCCGTCTGTTCCGCGGTGCGTCCGAGGAGCGAGCTCACCTGGGCCCCGCTGCGTGCGGGCATCCGGCGGCTTGGGCCGGGGCTTCGTGGGGCTCGGACGCCGGCGCGGAGCAGCCGCTGAGCCCGGAAGGGGAGCTGGGACCGGGATGGAGCCGGCGCCTGCGCGGAAGGGGACGGAAGCCGGGAAGGGAGGGGCCGGAGCGCCGGAAACGGGCTGCGCCCCCGGGGCGGGGCGCACCACACGGAGGCGGGTCTTCTCAGAGCCCTCGGTCAGTTCTGGAGCGGCGCCCGGGCCTGGTGCGGTGCCTGCGGAGCGGGAGCGGGCCCCCCGCCGTGCCCCAGTGACCGGGCCTGCGCCCCCGCCTGCGCCCTGGTCGCCCCGCGGCCTCAGAGCGCACCCCGCCAGCCGGTGGTCACACCGCAGAGAGAACGGGTCCACTGTGAACCTGCCTGGGTCCTCGCGGGGCCCGGGCCGAGTGGTCGTGCTTTGGGGGAGGGGCAGGCGCAGACGTGTTTTCCGGTGGGATGTCTGCGGAGTGCGCGCCTGGGAGGCCGCCCCAGCTGTGGTCGGAATGGGCCAAGGAATCCCTGTCCAGGAAGTGGACGCCCTTGGGCCGGGGTCGTCACCGACTGGTGGGAGGAAGGAAGGAGGGAGCGGCGCGGATTCTGTCTCTGCAGTGGAGCCCCCATCCGTCTTTCCGCCCAAGGATGCTGAAGCTCGCCCACGTTCTGGGTTGTGCGTGCTGGAGCGCAGCCAGCCTCCTCTAGAGGCTGAGGCCAGCCCAGGGCTGAACACGGCCTGGCAGTGCGCAGCCGCCCTGTGCTTTTGATGCCTCCCCAGCGGCCCAGCGCCTGCTGCGCCTGTAACCTCTCAAGTCAGATCCATGCGCCTAGGGAGGGGCAGGGACGGTGCTTGGTGCAGTGGAAGGAAGGGCCTAGGGGACGGGCCCTGAGGGGGCTGGGCACACTGCTGGCTCCCATGGCTCATGGCAGCCCCAGCACCCAGCAGAGCCCTCCCGAACTTCTGGCCGCTTGAGGGTTTATCTGGATCTGCAGGGCCCCTCCCCTATGGCAGGCACAGTCCGACCCCACAACCCACCTCTGCCGTGTAAGAACCCTTGAGGGGCTTTTCCTGAGCTGTCTTTGTTATCTGTGACCCTGGTCCTGGAAAGGGGCATCTGAAAAGGCCTTGAAGAGCGGTCGGGCATCTGGCAGTGTCAGCTGGGAGACGCTGGGCAGGGCAGATGCACAGGCCGTGTGCCTGGAGCCCTCAGATGAGTGTGACACCTGGTCCTACAGAAAGGCTAACAGGGAGGACCCTGGTCTCCAACTGCATCTTCTCCTCTGACCAGCCGCCCCACCGCCATGGGCCTCAGCCAGGACTTCCTGGGGAGGGAGGGGCCATCAGCCGCCTGCTGGAAGCCACCAGCTGTTTGTAGCCCAGTGTACTGCTTGGTGGGGGGGGCAATGTGTCATAAATCCATGTTTATAAAGCAGGCCTGGATGTGATCCCACACCCTCCCTGCTTATCCCCTGCTATGCAGCCCAAACAATGCCTCTCTCCTTCCTGTGGGAACAGCCTCCCATCCCCCCCAGTCTCCCCCTCAATCTAGCGAGGAAACTGAGGCCCCAGTTGAGCCTTTATCTTCTTGATGGGCAGGGACAGGGTGGATGTTGCTTTGTACTTACATTTATTCTGATTTTACAAGTGATACATGATCCTTGTAGAAATCATGGGGAGTCCAGAGGCGTGTTTTTATCCCCCCATTTCTGATGAGGAAAGAGACTCAAGAGGGCAGACTGGCCCCTGCCCCAGGAGGAGAAGGGGCGGCGCCAGGGCGCCAGCAACCAACTTCTCCAGATGTTCTGGCCTGAGTGCCGGGGCTTGTGCAACCCCACTTCCTGGTTTGTGGTCTAAAGCTCCCACCACAGGCTGGAAGTAGTGGGATGAGCGTTCCAGCTGTGGCCTGCAGAGTGGGCTGGCGGGCTGGTCCGCAGCGAGAGGAGGTGGTGCCAGGTGAGAAGAGGGGGCCTGGGGCCTCCTCTGTTCCTATTTTGCCTCAGTGATGGGCTGGAATAGGCTTGGTGGAGGAGTCAAGGGTATCAGTTGAAGATGGAGATGAGGACACCCTTGAGGCTTTGAAAGGAGTCAAGGCGGGGCCGGGCACGGTGGCTTACGCCTATAATCCCGGCACTTTGGGAGGCTGAGGCAGGTGGATCATGAGGTCAAGAGTTCAAGACCAGCCTGGCCAACATGGTGAATCTGTGTCTCTACTAACAATACAAAAATCAGCTAGGCGTGGTGGCACGTGCCTGTAAATCACAGCTACTTGGAAGGCTGAGGCAGGAAAATTGCTTGAACCCAGGAGGTAGAGGTTGCAGTGAGCCAAGATTGTGCCACTGCACTTCAGCCTGGGTGACAGAATAAGACTTCATGCGGGATGGGGAGGGGAGGAAAGACAGGGCATGGTGGCTTATGCCTGTATGTAATCCCAGCACTTTGGGAGGCCGAGGGCAGGGTGCGGATCACCTGAAGTCATGAGTTTGAGACCAGCCTGGCCAACATGGTGAACTTCCCATCTCCACTAAAAATACAAAAAACTAGCTGGGTTTGGTGGCACATGGCTGCAATTCCAGTTACTCGGGAGACTGAGGCAGGAGAATCACTTGAACCCAGGAAGTAGAGGTTGCAATGAGCTGAGATCGCGCCACTGCACTCTAGAATGGGTGACAGAGTGAGACTCCATCTCAAAAATAAAAAAAGGAGGCAAGGAAATCAAGGCTAGTATTAGTATTCCAGTGAGCAGCCCTGGCTCCCCACCTCCACGACAGGCCATAGGCTGCGGAGGGGCTGGAGCTGCCTCTAGCTATAGGAGGTGTGGCTATCAGTCAGTCACTGAAGCCTTTGTAAGCAAGTCCTTGAGAGATGTGGCTTCATCGGCTGCAGAGGCCAGGATTCCAGTATCATCCCCACGGCCCCATGGTGCCCAGCACACTACCTCCATCTCTCTCTGATGGTGGGGGTGCTGACAGCTGTTGAAGCAGTGTCAGCTCAGAAGCCTTGGGCTCCTCTACAGCCGTGAGCTGACTGCTTCCCAGTAGGATGGCTGCTGGCCTCTTCACTGGTCTCTGGGGTCCTCTGTGTCCAGCAAGCCCTGAAGGGTCAAAGCTTCCTTGGGCAGAGAAGGCGGCCACTGGGCAGGCTGAAGTGGGTGTGTGTGTTCTGCATCCTCCCTGCCTGGGGCTGAGCTGCCAGTACTGCTGGGTCCTGGGCCCAGGTGCTTCTGGGAACCCCTTGCTAAACCCTGGGATATGGGGAGGGGGCAGCTGCCTCAGAAATAGCCTATGACTTCAGGCCACTGGCTGGCCTGGCCCACTTCTGCCTCTTCCCCCAATAGCCAGGAACTGGTCATGGGCCCATCCCTGCAGCTCTGCTCCCCATGCAGGAGCAGTTTCTTCTGATCCTTCCAGGGATTTTCCAAAGCCCAGGGTCTGACCCCTTGGGGTGGTTACCTGTGGCCTAGAAACTGAGCTGAGGATTTTGGAGTAGCTGTTGGGAACTCCTCTTACTGGTCAGGGCTCCTATTACCTGGTGTCCTGGTGTGAGGTCCACAAACTCGTCCATGTGGACTGGGTACAGTCAGTCCTGAGCACATGTATATCGACCCTCCTCTGGTCATCCTTTTTGGAAATAGATGCTCGGTGCCACAAGGAAAGGATTAACACTGAGAAAAAGGATCTCTGAGCAACACAGTTTTTACCTCCTGGACTGCAGGATGGGTACTTCTGGGGGCCATGATACCACTCCCCTCAGTCCAGGAGGTAAAAATTGCGTTGCTAAAAGATCCTTTGTCTCAGTGCTAATTTTTCTCAGGAGGCCAGAGTGGGCTGAGAGCCTGGGGATTCCTGGACACAGGCTCTGAGGTGGGGATTTGCCTGCAGGGGCAGACTGGGGTGTGCTCCTTGGTGGGGGATGTTTCAGCCCTGAGCCAGCTGAGGCTGGTGCTCCTGGCAGCTGGCAATGAGTGTCTGGGTCTTGGAGCAGGTCTGGGTGGAGCCTGACAGCAGAAGGAGACCTGCTGACACCAGATGCCCAGCTGTGGCATGCCTTGGAGGCAAGCCTAGGCCCCAGCTTTCCAAAGAGGACACCCTAGCTGGCCCTGCCAGCCTTGTCTGGGCATCCAGGCCCGGTAGGGCTTGACTATCCCTGGCAGGGGTCAAGAATGCTAGGCATGGAGACTGTCCTGTCCCTGGCTGTGAGCCTGGCATGGGTGAGGTGGCACGTGCAGGATACCGGAGCTCTGAGTGTTGGCATGGGGGCAGGCTCCCTTTCACCCAGTGTCCCTGATGCATGGGCAGTCATCCCCCCAGTGGAGTTCCCCTCCAAAGCTTTCATTGTCTTCTTCTACAGGAGTAGGATGTTGGTATTGCTTGTGTTCGGAGAGGCCCACTATGTGCAGGTACCGCCTTATCCCACGGTGTGGACAAGGATCTGGGCAGAGGATGCTTACCCAGGCTCTGGGATCTACCGGTAAGTGTACCAGCACCTTTAGTTCATATTGTCACCTTTCTTTTTTTTTTTTTTTGGAGACGGAGTTTCACTCTTGTTACCCAGGCTGGAGTGCAATGGCGCGATCTCCGCTCATCGCAACCTCCGCCTCCTGGGTTCAGGCAATTCTCCTGCCTCAGCCTCCTGAGTAGTGGGATTACAGGCATGCGCCACCATGCCCAGCTAATGTTTTGTATTTTTAGTAGAGACGGGGTTTCACCATGTTGACCAGGATGGTCTCGATCTCTTGACCTCGTGATCCACCCGCCTCGGCCTCCCAAAGTGCTGGGATTACAGGCTTGAGCCACCGCGCCTGCCGTTGCCTTTCTTTTCTGTAGCCCAGGACCAGGCCATTGTCTGCGTTGGGCACTGGGTGCAACAGCTCAGTTTGGAGAGGGCTGGTGC